GGGAGAGGAGAGCGGCTCCGGAGGCGCGGAGGAGCCCCAAGGAAGCGCCGGGCTTGGTGGAGTTGGAGCTGCTGGGAGACGGAGGAGGGAGCTGAGGGATTGCCGCTTCCTCCGCGAGGCTCCGGGGAGGTTTGTAAATAAAATTTTAAAAAAAACAAAATGTTTTCGTGGGGTTTTTTTTTGGTTTTTTTTTCTATGTGGAATTTGGGGGGAGTTTGTGGGGTTTTGGAGGGGGAGTTTTAGGGAGTCTCCCTAAAATTCTCCGGAATTCCTGGATGAGGGGGTGGGATGGAATTAGTGCCGGGAGTTCAGGTGAGGGGTGGCAGGGTACGGAGGGGAGGCTCAGGCGGGATTTTGGGAAGGGGATTTTTCCCTCTTGGGCTGGGGAGGGGCTGGGATGGAATTCCCAGGGATTTTCTCCAGAACAAAGCCCAGGGCAGGAACGGGATGAGGTTTTGGGGGCTCCAGATCAAAGAAGGACAAACATCCTCGTCTGGGGGCATCACCTGCCTCTTCCCGAAGGGAAAACAAAAGAATCCAATCCCCAAAAACACCCTGGCAGCCAAAAACCGGGAATTAAGGCCTTAATTTCCACAGCACAGAAGCGCAGGGCGAGGCAACACCAACCCATCGCCCTCCTCCTGCTCCCACACGGTTAAACCCCCCCCAAACCAAGCCTGATTAGCCCCAAATTAGCCTCTGCTAATTAGCCCCAGGCCATCAGAGCCCCGGGACCCCCAGAGCGCCGCTACAGGCTGAGCTTCATGTCCCGGATGGCGGCGAAGGTGGCGGCGCTCAGCGGCACGTAGGACTTGCGGGCGTCGTCGCGGAAGAAGAGGCGGTCGCGGACCACGGCGGGGTCGAAGCCCTCCTTGACCAGGTTGCTCTTGCACTGCTTGAAGGTCCCCGTGACCTCCAGAGCGTCCTGGGGACGGCGACAGCGGCGTTGGGGAACCTCGGCGGGATCGCGGGCGGCGCCGGCGGGGTTTCGGGGGACGCGTTGGGGGTCTTTGGCACCGGGTGACCACCATTGGGACTGGGTGGCCACCATTGACATGGGGTGGCCACCATTGGGACGGGGTGGCCACCATTGGGACAGGGTGGCCACCACTGGGACAGGGTGACCACCGTTGGGACAGGGTGACCACCGTTGGGACAAGGTGGCCACCATTGGGACAGGGTGACCCCCACTGGAACTGGGTGGCCACCATTGGAACTGGGTGTCCCCCGTTGGCACAGAGTGACCCCTGTTGGCACAGGTTGGCCACCATTGCGACAAGGTGGCCCCCATTGGCACGGGATGGCCACCATTGGGACCGGGTGGCCACCACTGGCACCGGGTGGCCACCATTGGCATGGGGTGACCCCCATTGGGACAGGGTGACCCGCGTTGGGACAAAGTGGCCACCATTGGGACAGGGTGACCCCCATTGGGACAAGGTGGCCACCATTGGCACAGGGTGACCTCCATTGGCACGGGGTGACCCCCATTGGGACAGGGTGACCCCCACAGGAACCGGGTGGCCACCATTGGGACAGGGTGACCCCCGTTGGCACAGAGTGACCCCTGTTGGCACAGGTTGGCCACCATTGGGACAAGGTGGCCACCATTGGCATGGGGTGACCCCCATTGGAACCGGGTGGCCACCACTGCGACAAGGTGACCCCCATTGGCACGGGATGGCCACCACTGGGACAAGGTGACCCCCATTGGCACGGGATGGCCACCATTGGAACCGGCTGACCCCCGTTGGGACAAGGTGGCCACCATTGGCATGGGGTGACCCCCATTGGGACAGGGTGACCCCCATTGGAACCGGGTGGCCACCATTGACATGGGGTGACCACCATTGGAACCGGGTGGCCACCACTGGCACCGGGTGACCCCATTGGCATGGGGTGACCCCCACTGGAACTGGGTGGCCACCACTGGGACAGGGTGGCCACCATTGGGACAAGGTGACCACCATTGGCACTGGGTGACCACCATTGGCACAGGGTGACCCCCGTTGGAACCAGGTGACCACCAGTGGGACAAGGTGGCCACCATTGGCACAGGGTGACCCCTTTTGGGACAGGGTGACCACCATTGGCACAGGGTGACACCGTTGGCATTGGGTGACCCCCGTTGGCACAGGGTGGCCACCACTGTCCTGGGAAAGGGGGGGAACCTCAACACCGTCACTGGAACACCGCCGTCATCGGCAGAGGGTGACGCTGGTGTCAGTACGGAGCAAGCGTCACCAGGAACAGGCAGTTCCAACCACCAGGTGCCACCAACAACGCGGCCCCCCACTGCCACCAGGGGCCCCCCAGCACCGTCACTGGCACGGGGTGACCAACGCCATCGTGGGAAGCTGGGGGGACACCAATGCTGTGGTGGGAACCGGGGGAGCTCTGAAGTCCCCTCCCACCCAAAGTGTTCAGCGATTCCACCCGGCCATGACCAGAACTGGATGAGCTCCGACACCTCTTCCCACCCAAACCATTCCATGGTTCCACCTGGCCATGATCAGAACTGGATGAGCTCTGACACCTCTTCCCACCCAAACCATTCCATGGCTCCATCTGGTTGTCACCAGAACTGGATGAGCTCCAACACCTCTTCCCACCCAAACCATTCCATGATTCCCCCCTACACAACCAGAACTGGGTGAGCTCTATAGTCCCCTCCAACCCAAACCATTCCATGGTTCCATCTGGTTGTCACCAGAACCGGATGAGCTCCGATCCATCTGGTTGTCACCAGAACCGGATGAGCTCCGACACCTCTTCCCACCCAAACCATTCCATGGTTCCACCTGGCCATGATCAGGCACCCCAGTGTTGGATCATCCTCCTCCAAAGGCCAACCCCAGCACCCCAAATCCCCCCGGAGCCCCCGAGGGTGGGTGGGACCGCTCTGACCTGGATCCGGATGAAGCGGGGGGCGGCGTAGGCGGGCAGCGTTTCCCGCGTGAAGGCGTAGAGTTTGTCACCGTCGAAGGTGGCGCCGTCCTTGAGGCACACGGCAGCCATGCCACAGCGGCCCTCACACCCTGCCAACATCGCCCGCGGTCACCGGGGGCAGCTGCATCTCCTGGGAGTCTTCTCCAGGCCCCCTGGGCTACTGGGGGGGGTGTAGTGTGGCCAAACGCGTTTTGGGGTGATGGTGTTGGATCGCGTACCCAGAACGACGCCGGGTGCTCATTTTTGGGTGAATTCTTCCTATTTTTGCTTCCTTTGTGGCCACCTGGACCCAACCCAGCGCCCAACGCTTGCCTGGGGCAACCGAGTCCCGTTTGAACATTTTTTTGGGGATCCTTGGGCTGTTTTGTGGGGGATGTTTTGTGCCCAAAGTCCCTTTTGAACCTCCTTGGTGGTGGCTCAGACCGCCCGGGGTCGCGTCACCCGCCTCAAACGCCCCCCGGTGTTATTTCGCTGGGACTCACCCGGCACAGCCACGCCGTAGACGTTGACCTCCTGGATGAAGCTCACCAAGCCCAGCGTGGCCTCCACCTCCGTCGTGGCCACGTTCTCCCCTTTCCAGCTGGGGAGGAGAAGGGACGGAGCCGTGTGGGGAGCGGGATTTTGGGCCGGCACCGACCCCTCGGACGCACACGGGAGCGTGGGAATTACCGGAAAGTGTCCCCGACGCGGTCCTGGAAGTAGATGAACTTCTCGTGGTCCATCATGAGGAGGTCCCCGCTGTTGAAGAAGGCGTCGCCTTTGGCCAAGACGTCCCTCAGGATCTTCTTCTCCGTCTTCTGCGAGTCGCCGGCGTAGCCGTGGAACGGGGTGTTCTTGGTGATTTTGACCACCAGCAGCCCTGTCTCACCTCCAGGGAGGGAGAGGAGGGTTGGAGGCCGCTCAACCCCTGCCTTGGCTTCTTCTGGGGCTTTCTGATGGCTTCCAGTCCCCAGGGTGGTGGTGATGAGGGCCGAGAGGTGGCTTTGGTGCATCTCCAGCCCCGGGAAGGCCCCGGCCAGGTGGGTTCCTTACCGGGTTTGACGGGGATGCAGAGCCCTCGCTCGTCCCGCACCACCTCATCCTCCTCCACGTCGTACCTGATCAGCTCGAAGGGAGCGAAGAGCTGGAGGGGAGGGAGAAACCCGGGATTGCAAACAGGGAGGAGAAATTCCCTCCAGTGCCAGGTGTGGCCTGTTCCAACCCACGGGAACACACCTGGGTGTGGCCTCCTCCAACCCCCACATTCCAGGGATTAAAAACCATTTGTTTTTTTAGTTGCCGTTAATTTGAAATCTCTCGGTTGAAATCATTAAAATCGAGTTTTATTTCAACCTGTTTAAATGAGGTTTTCATCTGATCAATTCAAACCGTGAAGGAACTCGTGGTGGCATCTTCCAAACCCAGGGGACAACGTGATGGGGGGAAAAAAAATCTGATTTTTGCAGTTTTTGCTCAACGGGTGGATGAGGGACTCAAAGTGGCCAGGTGCCCATGGACATCCCACAACCAGGCTGCAAATCAACGCTGTTGAGGGAATTTTGGCCAGCCAGGTGGAGGGGACCTCTTTGGGGTGGGAAAAGGGCGTTCTGGGGACTTCTGTGCCAGGCCGACCTGATGGACAGCGTGGACTTCCCCCGGGGACGTCACTGCTGGCTCCACCACCAAGAGGCGCATCCAAGACCAAACCCAACCTGAGGTGCCACCTCGGGCCCCTCGGTGTCACGTCCACCCCGAGGAGCTCGTTCTCACCTTGAGGAACCTGTTGGCCCTGCCCACAGCCCCGACCTTCCCGGTGTAGTTGATGAAGCCGGCGTTGCCCTCGGTGGCCCCGTAGAATTCCCAGATGGCCACGGGCCCGAAGCGCCGCAGGAATTCCCTCCACACCTCCGCCCTCATGCCGTTGCCCAGGGCCATGCGCACGCCGTGCTCGCGGTCATCGGCACGCTGGGGGTGACACGGGGACAAGGGGTCACCTCAGGGTGCCCCCGGAGCATCGCGGAGCCCTCAGGGCGGTCCTGCGCTGGGCGGGGCCTCACCTTGGGGGTGTTGCACAGGTAGCGCATGAGCTCCCCCACGTACTGGATGACGGTGACGTTGTAGCGCCGACAGTCGGACCAGAACTGAGAGGCGGAGAACTTGGAATGCAGGACGCAGGTGGCTCCTGGGAGACGTGGCACGGGGACAAGGAGCAGAGAACTTTTTGATTTCGCCTTTGTCTTCATCCATCCATCCATCATCCATCCATCATCCATCCATCCTCCATCCATCATCCATCATCCATCATCCATCCATCCATCCATCCATCCATCATCCATCCATCCATCCATCCATCATCCATCATCCATCCATCCATCATCCATCCATCATTCATCCATCCATCATCCATCCATCCATCCATCCATCATCCATCATCCATCCATCATNTGTCACCCCTTCCCTGGGACCCCCTGTCACCCCTTCCCTGGGAGCCCCTGTCCCATGTCACCCCCTGACCCTTGTCACCCCCCCTTCTGCCCTTTATCACCCCATGTCCTGGGTCCCCCTGTCCCTTGTCACATGACACTCCTGTCCCTCCTGTCCCTGGTGTCCCCTGTGGTTTCCCCTGTGCTGTCCCCTGCAGTGCCCCCTGTGTGGTGTCCCCCGTGTGGTGTCCCCTGCCGTGTTCCCCGTGGTGTCCCCTGTGTGGTGTCCCCTGTGCGGTGTCCCCCATGGTGTCCCCCGTGGTGTCCCCTCACCGAAGCTCTCGGCGCTCTTGGTCCAGGCCTGCAGGTTCCACTGGAATTTCATGTCCCCCTGGGGCTCCAGCGGCTCCACCATCACCCGCAGCACCCGCAGCAGCTGCGAGTGGATCTGGGACAGAGGGGACACCACAGGGGACACTGCCCGGGGGCTGCCACAGCGTGCTGGGGACCCCAGGGACGGTGTCACAACCCGGGGGAGGATGGGCTGTGGCAGCCTGGTGGCACCTGTCACCTCCCAGGGGTTCTGAGGGGACCTGCCGTGGACAACCCCTGCCCACAGCAGCGTGGGACAGCGGTGAAGTGGCAGCAGGGGACACCTGGGTACACCTGGGGACAAACCATCCCTTGGGGACTGTCCTGTGACCCCCAGAACAGGACACAGGGGACACCGGACTCCAGGTGAGATGAGGCACAGCCCAGGGGTGGCTTCACTCTGAGAGCACGAAGTGTGGGTGACAAGGGACACAGCTGTCCCCAGGTGTCCCCAAGTGTCACTCCTGGGGGTCCTCCTGCCCAAGGTGTCCCCAAGTGACACTCCTGGGGGTCCTTCAGCCCGAGGTGCCACTCTGGGGGGCTCTGAGGGGAATCTGGGGGGTTCCAGGGGGTCCCGGCTGCCCAGTACAGCCCAGGGGTGGCTTCACTCTGAGAGCCAGCGTCTCGGTGACAAGGGACACAGCTGTCCCCAAGTGTCCCCAAGTGCCACTCCTGGGGGTCCTCCAGCCCGAGGGGCTGGTTTGGGGGGGGCTCTGAGGGGAATTTGGGGGGTTCCAGGGGGTCCTGGCTGCCCAGTACAGCCCAGGGGTGGCTTCACTCTGAGAGCCAGGGTCTCGGTGACAAGGGACACAGCTGTCCCCAAGTGTCCCCAAGTG